TCTGGAACCAGAGAAGGATGCCCACTCTCATCATTATTATTCAGTATAATTCTGGAAGTTTTAGCCAGAGCCATGAGGCAAGAAAAGCAAATCAAAGGGATACAAATTGGAAAGGAGGAAGTCAAATTATCCCTGTTTGCAGATGACATGATCTATATATAGGGGAAGCAAAAGACTCCACTAAAAGAATATTGGAACTCATAAGAGTGTTTGATAAAGTTGCAGAATATAAAATCAACACACAAAGATCAATAGCTTTTGCATACACAATCAATGCCACAGCTGAGAAATAACTTGTAAGATTACTCCCATTCACAACAATTACAAAAACATTTAAATACCCTGGGATAAAATTAACCAAGGATGTGAAAGATCTCTACAATGAAAATTATAAAACATTAGGGAAAGAAATAGAAGAAGACAAACTCAAAAAAGGAAAAATCTTCTATGTTCTTGAATTAGAAGAATTAATGTCATCAAAATGTCCATACTACTCAAAGCAATTTACAAGTTCAATGCAACTTCAATCAAAATACCAAGGACATTCTTCTCAGATAAAAAAAAAATGATACTAAAATTCATATGGGGGGCCGGCATTATGGTGTAGCAGGTAAAGCTGCCGCTTGCAGTGCCAGCATCCCATATGGGTGCTGGTTCGAGTCTTGGCTGCTCCACTTCTGATCCAGCTCTCTGCTATAGCCTGGAAAAGCAGTAGAAGATGGCCCAAGTCCCTGGGCTCCTGCACCTGCATGGGAGACCCAGAGGAAGCTCCTGGCTCCTGGCTTCGGATCAGCACAGCTCTGGCCATTGTGGCCAGTTGGGGAGTGAACCAGTGGATGGAAGACCTCTGTCTCTCTCTCTGCCTCTCCTTCTCTGTGTGACTCTGACTTTCAAATAAATAAATAAATCTTTAAAAAAATTCATATGGAAACCAGAGATACTCCAAATAGCCAAAGCAACCTTAAATAATAAAAACAAATCTAGAGGCATCAAAATACCAGATTTTAAGAGATACTTCAGAGCTATTATAATCAAAACAGCATGGTACTGGCATAAAAATAGAGATGTAGACAAGTGGAACAGAATAGAAACCCCAGAAATTAATCCACACATCTGTAACCAACTAATCTTTGACAAACAATATCATTCCCTAGAGAAAAGATATTCTCTTAACAAATAATATTGGGAAAATTGGATCTTGCATACAGAAGTATAAAAAAAAGACCCCTACCTCATGCCCTATACAAAAATTAACTCACAGTTGATCAAGGATCTAAACATAAGACCTGAAATCATCATTGGAATATGCAAAGACTACTTGGGTAAGACCCCAGAATCACAAGCAATAAAAGTAAAAATAGACCAATGGGTTTGCATCAAGTTAAGAAGCTTCTGTACTTCAGAGAAAACACTTGACAAAGTTAAGAGGCAACTGAAAGAATGGGAGAAAATATTTGCAAACTATGCAACTAATAAAGGATTTATATACAGAATGTATAAGGAGCTCATGAAACTCCAACAAAACAAACAATCTAGTTAAGAAGTGGGCAAAGGGCAAGAACAGACATTTTTCAAAGGATGAGATACAAATGACCAACAGACACATGAAAAAATGCTCAGGATCACTAGCCATCAGGGAAATGCAAACAAAAACCAGAATGAAGTTGCACCTCATCCCAATTAGAATGGCTATCATCCAAAAATAAAAAAATAACACATGCTGACAAGGATGTAGAGCAAAATGTATCCTAATACACTGTTGGTGGGAATGTAAACTAGTATAACCATTATGGAAGACAGTATGTAAATTCCTTAGAGATCTGAAAACAGGTCTAACATATGACCCAGCCATCCCATTCCTGGGAATATAGTCAAAGGAAATGAAATCAGTATTTGAAAGAGTTACCTGTACTCCCATGTTTACAGAAGCTCAATTCACAACAGTTAAGATATGGAATCAACCCAGATGTCTATCAACTGATGACTGGATACAGAAAATGTGGTATAAATACACAATGCAATACTTAATTCAGCCATAAAAAAGAATGAAAATCCTGTCTTTTGCAACAAAACAGATGTGACTGGAGATAATTACACTTAATGAAATTAGCCAGACTCAAAAAGACAAGTATCACATTTTCTCTCATTTCTGATAGTTAATATATAGAGTACAAAAAAAAATGTAATGTATATGAGCAAAACTGACATCTTGGGATTTGCTCATTGTTTATAGCCCTTGTCTATATTCCTGCTGGACAGTGGTTTTTCTATTTTTTACTTGCTGAACTCCTCAGTGCAGCATTAAGCCTGTGACTATCAAGTAAACAAAAAATATGCTATCGCAAAAATTTAAAAATAAAGAAAAGGAGGAGGAGGGAGGAAGTTACAGAGTGAGAGAAGTACCATTATATACTTTATACTGTATATATGAACTATGTGAAATCTGTTCTCTTTATACTGAAAAACAATTACAAAATAATAAATGTAAAAATTATTTCATGCTTCAGTTCCTGCAGAAAATGTCATTATTTATTTTCATAAAATAATCTTTTATAATTACATGTTTCCAATTAACCATATGCTTATACATATGAATCACATAATAAATAAAATGTATATGGTTCTATAATTTTATGCAACTCTAATTAATTAGCAAATACTTTTTGGGGATTACTTACCTTTAACTGTTCTCTAAAAGTATCCAGAGTAAATCCATTAAATTAAATAAAACTAATTGTTTTAACTGAGAGAAGTGCTCTCAGAATTGTTTATAATTCCCCTAGCACTCTGATGAAATGTTGGCAGCTTAACATATTCTGACTTTAGTAATTTACCATATTTCCTTGATTGGAATTGATCTCAACAAGACAATATGCATTTGGAAAACACTGATTATGTTTAATAAAAAGTGAATGGATGTCAAAGAACATACTGCTTTGTGTAATGAGGCTTTATAGATTAAGTCTAATTATCAGTGATACAAAACCAAAAATCCTTTATGTATTGAATAGCAATTAACTTTCCTCTCAGAATAAAAGTCTACTGAACCTAAAACATAAAGCAATGTTTGACATTTGGAACCATTAACCAAAAGATTAACAAACAGAAAGAATTTTAAAGGAAAAACATTGCTTTTTAATATGTTTTGTGACAAAAAAAAAGACTGATCCTTTATGTATGGAATGCGAAAAATAGTACTGGTTCACTAAAATTCTAATAACTCCTGACATTTTAGGCATAACTCAATTTAAGTAAAAGGTAAAAAGAAAAATATAAAAATTTTAGAATATATTTCCTTAAATTAGTTAAACCTCAGACAAATATATTTTGTCATTTTAGAACTGCTCACATGGAAACAAATAGATCTGAACATAACTCATTCCTTTAAAGTTGGGGCTGCCAAAGGAAAATGGGTTATGTATGTATGTGAAAGAACACTTTTTAAGAAATCTTTAGTTCTAGTTATTTTTCTGCTTTGTTGAGGTTGTGTGACTTTGGGAAATTCCCTTAATCTTCTAAACTCTCAAACCTCTCACACAATGAAAAATGATTTTCATTTTTATAACTATAGCATTAGAGGGTAATATAGATTGAAAGAAGTCTGCCTATTTGAAAAGAAAATATTAATTGGCAGAAGAAATTCATTTCTGTGTATTATGAAAGGCTAAAAGAGAGAAATGCCAGTCAAGAAGGAAACCATCAACTTCAGGTGGCTGTGCCTTTTAACCTTCTCAAAACATTTTTATGCATATGATCTCATTTTTAACACTACCATAAATCTTTGAGGCAGAAGTGTTATTATGCTCCCATTTGGCAGAAAAAGAATTCGAATAGAAAAGAGGCATTATTTTATCATGTTAGGAATCACAAAACGATTTCATGGGTTAATAAGAATCTGGATCTCATCACTCCTTAGCCAGAACCTCTTTCAATGGAGTTGATAAAGCTAAACAAAAGGGATCATAATTATATAGAGCTGAATGATTTGAAGAGCAAAGGAGAAATCATAAAGAAACACTGGAAATGAGGTATCCTTGAAGGATTCCTCTTGCTGACTGATGAGGAGGTGATCCTAACCCACAAGATGAAAGACTGCTGTGGCGACTGAGGTTCAGGTATGTGCATGATTGGTTTAAAATTTTAATTTCTGCAAAAAAGAGACATTTCACTCACCTAATTTTAAGGAATAACAACAGAAAAATGGCTAAGCTACTAAAAATGCATTATGTAGTGTATCAGAATCAAATGCACAAGATCCTCCCCCAGTCCTAGGGGTACATTTATCTTCTTTTGAACTTGTTAATAATAGCTACAGTTTACCTATTCAAATTAGCTTTCTAAATTTTTTTTTCTTATTTGTTTATTTTAAAAGTCACAGATATGAGGTGAGGGAATACAGAGAGAGAGGGAATCTTTCATTAGCTGGTTCACTCCTCCCCATTGTCAGCAACAGACCAGGCCAAAGCCAGGAGCTTGGAACTCATTCTGGTCTCCCATTTGGGAGACAGGCACCCAAGTACTTGAGCTATCACCTGCTGCTTTCCTAGGTGCACATTAGCAGGAAGCTGGATCAGAAGCAGAGCTGGGATCTGAACCATTCAGTCCAATATGGGAGGCACAGTCCCAAGTGGCATCTTAACCAATGTGCCAAATGCTGCCCCCAAATTAGCTTTTTAAAAAACTGTTTAATTTTCAGGGAACTGATACTTTTTATTTTTCCAATTTAAATTCATATCCTTTTATATAGTCATGTACTATAAAACTGATTGAACTAATAAACAGGAAACCATTTACTGAAATAGGAAAAAAGATAGTATGTCAAAGCTCCTTGTTACTGAAACAGTTACCTGAGGATTTAGTGAGTGTTACCACAAAGTTTTAGTATAGCTACACCAATGAACTAACAAAATGCAATGCTCCAGAGTGTAGTGAAATTTACTTCATTTAGGTTATGGTACTACTTTTTGGTTCAAAGACTGTACTTTTGAAAAAGTGGATACCTGCGGTCCATCTCTGGCTTCATAGAAGTCACCCACTCTTATTTTTGCACTGAAGCTGAAATTGTCCCTTGAGATATCCATTATTCCATTTCTGCTGAGATACTGAAAAAATCACATATTTTTCCACTTCAGGTTTTAATAATGACAACCCAGCTTTGAAGTACAGCTAGCTTCAGGACACTAACGTTTTGCGTAAACGGGCTATGGATTTATAGCAGATTCATTTAGGTTAAGTACATTAGTCCCACACAAGAGAATATTTTGTATCAAGGAATTTTATCTGAGAAAGGTGTGCAATTTTTTTTTTATACAAGCATGCTTAATAGGCATCAAATGTATGCTACTTGGTGAAAAGTATGTACCTTTATTACTTCAGGGTACTGCCTAAGTTTCTTCCCACATGGAGCATAATATGCTACTTCTCCTTGAAGGCGCCCTCCAAAGTTTCTTATTCTTGTCTCTCTCTGCCAGCTACACATAACAGAAATGAGGGTTACAACATACTTAATTTTCAAAAAGCCTTTCAAACTTACAAAGTTAAAGTATGCATGCTCTTTAGCAAACAGAAAAAAAGAAAAAAAAAGAAATCTCTAATCACAACACAAATTCATTTACATTAAAAAGATTTTTTTTTAGTTTAGATACTTCAAATAAAACATTAATCAAAGGTTCAATTCACAAATATTAAACTCCATTACATTTTTTAGAAACCATAACTGAAGTGACTTTCGGTACTGAGGTATTTCAGTAACAAGTGTAAATGAGTATTATCCTATCTGAAATGCTCTAGGTGAGAAGCATGAAGTAAACGTAGCTCTCTGCTGCTCGGGGCAGAAATATCTCAGTTCCAATTAAACCATTTTAGGCAAACTGTGATCAAGTCCCTCATTTCTGACCACAGTGCCTTTTACAACCCTTGAGTTCCATCTTCACAGACACTCCTGAAAGTCTTAATTGTATCCTGCTTTTTGCCAGGCAGCTTGCTCCTGGTTCTTTTTCAGGCATATTCCCCATGTGGCTGCATGATCCCATCTAGGCTCTGCCATCTGTCCATGCAGCAATTAGGCTTAATTTCTGTGTTCTGATCAACTTCTTTGCCCTGGCTCTTCTGCTCTAATAAATTCTATGTGCACTTATTTCATTGTCAGTATAGAAAAGAAATATAGTATACATCAAACATGCATAATACAGGGGAAAGGCAAAAAGGAGATTGTATTCTGCATACCCATATTCCAAGGGAATACGCAGTTCACGTTCATCTGTTACTCTTCTTCTTTTGGAATTGCCTTTAAGAGAATTCAACCAGTTGATATAAAAGATTAGTTTATACAGATAACAATTTCTTGATAATTTAGAAACTCTTCTTTAAAAAGTACACACTTGGTGATTTGGATGATTAGTGTATTTCTACAATTTATACATTATTTTAGGTGGTTTTTCAATAAAACATACTGTATAAGGCACAGGGTTGTTTTCCTTTCTTCTTTTGTTCTGAATGTTAGAATAACTTGTCTTTCTCTCTAAACAAACAAACAAAAAACCCTCCAAAGTATCAATATTTATCTGTGTTCTGATTTTGTTATTAAAGAAATGGCTTAAGGAGTCAGAGAGAAATAGCAGATAGAGGTTTCAACAAGCCTATTTACAGTCATTTTCTTTGAAAGTGTGTCCAGAGGCTGGAAAATCTCATCAGCTGGCGCATACATTTTCAGACAATTTAATTTCTATGGCTATATACGTCCTAGGTCTTTTAATTAATCTAAAGCACAAAGGAATAGGATTATGATTATATGCAAAGATTTTCAAAGACAAATATCAAATTTCATGTACAAATCAATTCATCTTAGCTTAGTAGGACATCATCCTGGTTTGTGATAACTAAAAGCAAAATTAGAAACTGCCAAGAAGAAAGAGAAACATGTAAAACAAGAAAATATTTTCTCATATCCATGTATATTTTCTAAGATATTGAATGAGGAGAATAGCTTTAGAATATAAATGTAGACATTTTTAATAATGACCTCTGTAAGTTTATAAAAAGTCAAACAGAAAAAAGGTGCGGCATGCTAATGGAATAAGAATGCTACTCACTGAAAGAATTGACACTGGCTATGTGTTGGGCAGAAATACAACTGTAGCTTAAGTAACCAAGTGAGCTTTTTCATAATGCACAGAAAGTCCAATTGTCAATCGAATTCTATATTCTAGAAGCACAAACTGAACACAAAAGCAGGAAAAAATTCAAAATCAAGAGCTGTCATCAACCAGATTCTTAAACTGGAAGCACAGAAAAGAAAAAAACAAAAAACAAAAAGCAAAAATCCAAAAACCAACAACCAGAAATGGGTCATACCCTTTGAAAACACATGCTGACCTTTCTTTGCCAACCTAAAATCTAGCTGTAACAACTTGATTCCAATGAGATCATCTCCAGAACACTGTATAAATAAAAACTCTTGCCATGGTTTGACTTCCACTTTACAATAATAAAAATAAAGTGCAGGTACCAGAGTGTGGACTTGAAGTAAGTGTGGAAGAAGATGTGCCAAGAAAAGCAGGTGACTGGGATTCAGAACATAAGGCAGCAGGAGCAGAGCCTGGGGCTTTTGCTATGTGGAGGTTACGAGGTGTTGAGTGAGCTGTGAGACTGATGGAAGGGCTTTTAACAGAGGAAGTTGTTTTATTCAGTTTCATTGAAGTTTTCTCTCCTTCTGTATCGCTATCTGATTCATCTTGGTCTTTATCATCATCATCCTCTTCTTCTGATCCTTCTGTCTCTGATTCTGAATTACTATCTGATTCTGGGAAGTAAAAGAAGCACTTGTATATTATAACTAGATAATAACCAATACTTCGCAGTTTGTATCTCAATGGAGTAGCTCAGGAACCAGTGTCTGCAACTGAGAATTCAAGCAACTTTCCCAAAGAATAAATGTAAAAATTACTGTCTGATAAACTGTTTGAGTACAGTGTATGCAGGGGATAAATCCTCACAATTCTTTTAAAAGTATCAGTTTTACTCCACATTTTAATAATAAAAGAATTCTCACATGACACTTGTCATGAATGAGTTCTGCTTAATGGCTTCAAAAACACTTTGAACTTTGTGTTAGAAACTAAGGCAAAAGAGAGAACATAACTGACTAGCCAAATTAACAGAGTTCAATGCCTCCAGATGTGAACTAAGTCCAGAGTGAGAAAAAGCAGTCTGGATCTACCATTATCCTATCATTTGGACTTCAGGATAAAACTTTCTAAGGGATATTCTTGGTTTATTCAGCGGCAGCTTTTCTATTTAGGTACAAGACTTCATCAGGTTTCTCAGAAAACCAGCCTTATAGGAATAACTATGGTATGGCAATATAGTGACTGAAAAATTGAAGTTTCTTCTAGCTATGCAGTCCTAGGTGTAATGCACTCGTTGTTCCAAATACATAAATCCTCTAACTGGATTACACTTGATAAACTGGACTCACACTTGGACTGCACCCTAAAAAGTTCCCAGAACAACAACTCTTGTGGAGTTTTGATCAATTTAGTACTATCTGCTTACATTAATCTAATAAAAACTAGTTTTTGAAAGTTACATTTATCTGTCAATCACACATATTTATTACCTGCCTCCCCTGAAGCCCCAGGAAAAATATTATCCAGAAGAATTCTTTTTACCCTGAGAAAGCAGTTTTTTTTTTAACTTACAGACATTTTAAATTATATATTGACTAAATTTTCCTTTTCATATTCTAAAAAATTTACAGTTGAATTTGTGGCTGACTGGTAGCAAATGCACAAACTTTTAGTATGTGTACTTCATCTCTGCATTTGACATTTAAGTGACCTTGTATTTTATGTTTCCAAACCCCTCTCTTAAAAAAAAGAAACTACAAAGTGAATAAAAATTAAGTCAGAGAATACCCAAAACTCCAAAGATATTTCATAAATCTTGTGTTACCAATGGACGTTCTTAAGAATTTAGGCTTTTGGTACTTTGTGAAAGTCTGTAACAGTAATTTTACTTCTGTTCAATATATACAGTTACACATTTTAATAAGCAAAGATGTAAAAAATGGAACCAATAAGTGGTTCTGATTGCACATTAAGCAAGTTGATGAAATTTTCTTAATTAATGAATTTATATTCACTTCACAGTTATTATTTATTTAATAGACGAATAAACTGAGAATTTAACTTGGAATTTCCAATATCAATTATTCATTAAAGAAATGCACATAGCTGTGTGAAACATAGCAAATGAACATGATTATAGGTATGTGGATTAAGAAGCTCTTAAATGTTTCAGTTCACACAGCATTTAGAAAAATGTTTCAAATTTTAAAAGAGAAAATAACCTGATTGGCTGTCATCAGACTCATCATCTTCATCATCTTCCTCATCATCTTCCTCATCATCTTCCTCTTCATCCTCATTGGAATCTTCAGAATCTTTACTACTGGGAATGTCTGAATCTGCTCCTCTAAACTGTTCCACTAATGACTGTGCAGGATGGGTGAGATGCTGTGTTTTCACTGTGTTCACGTTATTGCCAACTGCTTTTTCCTTCCCTTGATTATGCAGTATAGGAGAGGTAGAGGGCATTGCAGGTGGCTGATTGCCAGGGGTTTTTCTCCCGCTTGTACTCAAATTTACAGGTGAGGAAAAAGGGGTGATACTTGCAGCAGCAATGCTTTCATTGATCTTACTCTGCATCTTAGTTTTGGTAGTAAGTGCTAGAGGAGCTTCTTGAATGACACTCTGAATAACTCCATTTGGTTGGTGATTACCTAAAAGTGCGTTTGTTAAGAATGGGTTAGGGTGGGTATTTTCTAATGTTTGTTTTGGATGTGCTGGTGAACTAGAGGTTGCTTTTGGATTTGACAAAGCTGCAATAACCTTCTTCAGGCTTTTGGATGACTCCTGCTTCTTTAACTGTGATGGGAATGTCTGTTTATACTGTTCCTGTTGAAACATAAGAGACAAAACAAAATGTAGCATAAAAACGAAGATAGCTTTTATTTGCTCTCAATATCTGAAAACAGCTGCTTTCATATATATATATATATATATATATCCCATATATATACCCCATATATATATACCCCACATATATATCATATATATACATCATATATATATATCATATATATATATTTAAATCATGATCTATAAGTGCTGTACAAGGACTGACAGTAATGACAAGTTGGTTGCTGAAACTTGGCTAGACTTAATATATTTAACATTTAATTATCTTTTCCTCTATATAGGTGCACGTGTGTGTATATATATACATGAATATATATGTATGTTTATTTATTTATTTCCTGACTATCCCCTACTCTTTACTGTTGCTCCCATTCTAAGAGTATTCCAAATCTGAAGCCCTGAAAATATTGTTTCTTTTTTTCTATGTCAGACATATTACCATGCCTTTGGATTCCTTCACTGAAATAATGCTCAGATTTAAGCAAAGCCATTATTTCTTCCCACCTAACTTCCAACATATGCTATATACCAACGTCAGTTTTATTTTAGATTAAGCCTTATTTGATTATAGTATCCACTTGGAACACTGCTAACTTTATAAAGTACACCCTTCAGAATGACACTCAGATTATTTTACAATTAGGCACTAGAATAACCTTCCAGGAGACTATTTGCCATGGGCTCTGCACGTCATATTTTCAGCACCTCCACATTTTCCTGTAACCACTTTGTCTGCATGAAATATCCTCCTCTTCTACATTTCAAGCAGAGGAAATAATGTTCATTCTTGAAGATTTAACCCAAGAGGCTTTTTATGTTTGTCCTGGCCAGAAGTCCTCTTTGCCCCTGTCCTTTGTCTCTTTTAGCTCCTTATATTCCAAGCCAGATGACATTCAGTACACACACTATATGCCTATGTGCCTTAAGCCTTTTAGGCAGGGGCGGGGAACATTTTGTTTTGCTAATGGCCATTTGGATATTTATAACATCATCTGTGGGCCACACAAAATTGTCAACTTAAAAATTCTCTTCTTATAGATTTCTTCAATTTCGAATCCCACCTGCAGTTGTCTTGGCAGCACCAGACCAAATGATTTCCCAGGCCAGGCTGGGCCAGACATTCTACACTCCCGCTACAAGGAGAATACATTCACATCTTACACTGTTGTTTATTTATCTTTATGATCTTCCCATAATATTGTTTGGAGCCTGCATTTGGAATGTACTCAAAAGACAATTCTAGATTGCTGAATGAATGATTTTGCAAACAAGAAGTACTTCTTTGGAGTCAAGGTTTATGAGAAGAAGCTGGTGGGAATGATGGCTCCACATTCTGTGGGATATACTTTTGACTGCCTTTAGATATTAACATTTGAAAGAATACCCAGTTTAGAAAAATAATAGCTTTCTTGGGAAAAATTAGTTCATAGACTATTAAGTCATAAAATTTACAGCTATAAATATGAGACAAAAATTATTCAGCTATTGGTATCTCCTTGAAACAAAATATCATATAAATTTTGACTAAATTATTATTTTTTAAATATTTATTTATTTACTTCAAAGACAGAGAGAGGGAGGGAGGGGGAGAGAGAGAGAGAGGTATCTTCTATCCACTAGCTCATTTCCCACATGGCAGCAACAGCCAGAGCTGGTCTAAGCCCAATCCAAGAACCTGGAACTCCACCCAGCTCTCCTATGTTGGTGGCAGGTGCCAAGGCACTTGGACCATTGTCAGGTGCTTCAGGGAGCTGGATTGGAAGTGCAACAGCCAGGACTTGAACAGCTGCTCATGTGGGATATCTGTGTCATAGGTGGCAGCTTAATCCACTGTGCCACCATGCTGGCCCCATAAACCAGTATTATTAAAATAATATATAAAAAATGGAACTAGAATGTTCAAAATATTTTTTAAAGATTTATTTATTTATTAGAAAGTCAGAGCTACACAGAGAGAGGAGAAGCAGAGAGAGAGGTCTTCCATCTGATGGTTTACTCCCCAATTGGCCACAAAAACTGGAGCTGTGCCTATCCGAAGCCAGGAGCCAGGAGCTTTCTCTGGGTCTCCTATGCAGGTGCAGAGGCCCAAGGACTTGGGCCATCCTCCACTGCTTTCCTGGGCCATAGCAGAGAGCTGAATCGGAAGTGGAGCAGCCGGATCTTGAACCAGCACCCATATGGGATACCAGTGCTTTAGGCCAGGGTGTTAGTCCGCTGCGCCACAGTGCTGGCCCCTCAAAATATTTTTCAATAACAATAATGGAGTTGAATCTCCTAACCTAAAGTAAAATTCGGCATTAAGGAAGCCGGCTTTGAAATGGAAGTCAGCAGTGTGGCCTGAATCAGACTTGGGCCCCAACGCAGGGATTTCTGAGAGGGCCTTCCCAAGTGTCAGCGCCATACAAAGTGACTTAGGGAATGGTTTAAAGCAGTCATGGTAAGAAGCAATGAGGGATTTTCAAATAAAATCCTTGTATTCCTTTACATCTTCATTGTATTAGTTTAGAAAATTAAGTCAATAAGATGTCTTTATAAACAAAAACTATCATGTAATAATTACACCTAAGGCAATAGCATGACAAGACAAGGTGCCTAATTTGTAGCTATTCAGTGACTAGAACACGGAAAATTGGACTACGTACTTGGGTTTACTTTTTAAAAGTAATTTTACAGCAGAATTCCTAAACAAAATACTTTTAAAAAAGAAATAAATTTCAGCAGAAAAATTTAGTATATTTCCATCTCTTAGTACATAATTATGTTGTATAATCATTGTGTACTCTATTTTTTATTTTCCTGCTAAATGAACAATATCAATAGGACCATGACAACAAAAATTTTCCCTTTAATTTTACATTTTAATGCCTTGCAATTGCTTCTCACTATACTACTGCAGAATCATTTTCCATATATAGCAACTATAGGTTTTCAAGAAGAACCGAAGATGACAGTATTTTATCCCAGCTACTCTTTTACAGTGCACGTTTCATCCTTTTTGATATCAAGGATGATGTGTTAAAAAGATGATGAGGATAAAATTAAGACCAATATAGTAGTAAAATTCTTGCTGCTTTAAGATACCCATTCGGACAGCAGTAGTATTGATAACAGAACAGAGAGGTTCAAAGGTCTGTCCTACCTCCAAGCTCTTACTCCCCAGGGCCCCCACCTGTTTCTGCACACCACAAAATATCCAGATAACTTGATAAAAGAAAACTGACATAACATATACTTTTCCAGCCCTGATTTATACATATATACTAATAGTACTGATTTGAACTACATGTCTATAAAATAAAGGATACAGTGATTAAATAACATTTATGAAAACCGTTCATGAATGAAAGAGGGTACACACAGCAGATAGCAGGAAAGAAACAAATAAGATTATCATAACAAATAAAAGAAAATTTTATGTTAGATTTTCATAGAAAGATAAATATTGTAAGAGAAGAATTTCTAAAATAACCTCTAACTCAATAGTAGGCATTGATAAAGAGTACACTGCTCAGAGTTGAGTCTAATGTATATGTTCATTCACACAACATATCATCCATTAGCTACCATTATCACTTCAGATAACTTGTACTATAATTTCTGAATGATCTCCAGAGAGAAAGAGCATCACACTTTTAAAAATCTTAATCATGAGCCTTGAACTCAAAATGCTTGTTTAAATTCCTCTGCTTTTAGCTTGTTTTATGATGTTGGCTAGTCATTTAACCCTAAGTCTTAGTTTCTTTACCTCACAAGATTTTGTAAGGATTAAATAAGATCTGATGTGAGGGACATGCTCAAGCTGGCTTACCTCAAACAGTAGAGTTAGAAACATATCAGGGGATTCCAATTCAATCCGATCAAGGTAGCATGTACCAATGCCATCTCACTAGTCCCAGTGATCAATTGCTGTTCACAATTGATCATAATGATAGGACTAAGAACCAAAGGGATCACATAAACAAAAATAGTGTCTGCAAATACTAGCTGATAGAATAAAAAAGGGAGGGAACGATCCAACATGGGAAGTGAGATACACAGCAGACCCATAGAATGGCAGATGTCCTAAACAGCACTCTGGCCTCAGAATCAGCCCTTAAGGCATGCGGATCTGGCTGAAAAGCCCATGAGAGTATTTCAGGCATGGAAAACCAAGACACTCTGGAAAAAAAAAAAAAAACCTAAATGAAAGATCTCTGCCAGTGAGATCGCAGTGGAAAGAATGGGTCATCAAAGAAGGAGGTACCTTTCTCTGAAGGGAGGAGAGAACTTTCACTTTGACCATGGCCTTGTCTAAATATGATCAGAGTCAGTGAACTCAAAAGGCTTCCATAGCCTTGGCAGCTCATGACAAGAGCCTAGTGTGATTACTGATGCCATAAACAAGAGTGTCAAATTGTTAAGTCAACAACAGGAGTCACTGTGCACTTACTCTCTCATGTAGGGATCTTTGTCCTTAGTGTGCCTGTACATTAAGATTTAATGGTATAACTAGTACTCAAACAGTATTTTTCACTTTATGTTCTGGTGTGGGAGCAAACTGTTGAAATCTTTACTTTAATGTATGCTAAACTTGA